CTTTATAACCAGTCCCTTACAGCACTTGAAATGCAATTATATCCATAATCTTTGCTATAGTCTCAGCTTGTCTAGGTTTTTAGTGAAAATTGAAACAAACGAACAAAAAAACCCTTCATTGTGTTTGAAACCCATAATGGTTTTTTTAGGAATTTCCACAGTGTAAGCAATGTTTAAACCCAAGTTAGTTGAAATATAGAGATTGTATAATATATCATTTTAAATAAAACCATGAATGTTATTTTAAACCTCGACTTTCCTTACTTTCTCGAGATTGGATATAGGTATGACAAAATATACTGTCTAGGGGACTGCGCTGGGCAGGCAAAATTTTGCGGATTGCTGGCCAAAATTTATTTTCCAAAGACAAATTTTTTTGAAAATCATTTTTTGGAAGCTACGTATAAAGATACCTGCAGAACAAGCCGAAAACATTCGTTTTTGTAGGTGTGTTTACTTTATTAGTTAAACAAAAGACTGCGCCCCACCTGAAATGCGTCAAGGGTTTTCCAATATATCTTATAGATATCTTAGATGGCAGCATGAAACAATAAAAAATTCAAAGCTTCAAATGTCGCTTTTCTGTTCATAGATACTGAAGGAAAATATGATTAAAATGACAATAATTAACCACCCAATTGTCCTGTTGATGTTTGGCGAAGCAACTGCCGTGTCGAGAGTTTCTGCAGCTACTGTAAACATAATTTGCCGAAATCAACTTCTTGGCGATATCTTATTTAACATCAATGAARTGCACCTTTTATGAAGTGTTTTCAATTGAAATCAAAGTTATTCTGGTAGTGTAATCAGGCTTTTCTTGTTAAAGGCCACTTTTTCTCGGTTAGGGATTTCAATCACAAAAACCCATCGTTAGCTTAAATCTTCTTCCCCTAAATCCTCTTTAGTGAATTGCCTTTTCCTCCATGAATTATTGTCTCTAACTGAATTCTTTGACATAAACGTTCATTTTATTTTTCCTCCTCCACGAAATTTCGGCGGAATTCACGTTTTCTTTCTCTCCCTGCTTACCGCTTTGCAGTCTGTGAGATTTCCTCCGYCTTCATGCCTTCCTTTCTCACGCCTCTTCGCAAAAACTCTTTTTCTTTAACGTCTAATTTCTTCCGATTCTCCTCTGAGCTAACACTGTTGAAATCCCAAAATACAAACTTCAAAACTGGGTCCATTTAAAATATCAAATTGTAATTGAATTGTTGTTTATAATTTTGCTGCCTGTTGTAGTTTTCGTTAAAGAACAAAGTTATAATATTTTTGAAACGCCGATTTTATAGTTTCATTAGGAACGTAAGAACAAGATGATGGCGCACAAAGTGGTGAAAAAACAACTCGATAGATTACCATTCTTACTATTGTAATAGATAGTATGGGGTCCGATGGGGCTCCGCTCACGTGGCAGCTACGCTATAAACTGAATTAAATAGATTCAAAAGGATCGAAATAAGTCTTGTAGAGCTGCGCTGATCAAGAACTTATTGAGCTCTCAATCATACGAAAATGTGTGCACTATCGAATACTGATAAACACTCCAATCAGCAATTTACAATATATATGAAACTAGTACCACCTAAAGAACAATAAGACAGTGTTTATTTTATTTTACAGGTACTACAGGTACTATACGGATACTACACCTACTACAGGTACTACAGATACGACAGGTGCTACGGATACTACATCTACTACACCTACTACGGATACTACACCTACTACAGATACTACACCTACTACAGTTACTACACCTACTACGGATACTACAGGTACTACGGGTATTACACCAACCACATGTGCTGCACCTACACGGATAACTAAAGCTGACACCGAACGTTGCAACACTACCATATCACACAACCCCAAGATAGTGCCAGTTCGTGTGGTCATACATGAAGTAACAACCCGTGTATGTTCTATCAAATACGGCAAGCATGCGCAAACGTTTTTCTCTAGTGTCGCGAGGATTATTGTATAAATATTGTTCAACAGCGTCTTTTTCTCGGTTTTTATTTCCTTCCTCGTTACTTAGGACTTATTGAAATGGCAGGTCTGTTTGGGAAGGCAATGAAGGATGCCTCATTATCGGTAACGACCACAAGAGAAGGCTCTCGGACGTTCGATCAAGGTAAGAACAGTAATGTCTTCCGATTACGTTGTAAACCTATGTAGTTAGTTCTAAAAACCCGTTCTTTTTGATGAYCTTATTCGTTCTATTTTGCTTACATTTAGTATGTGATATCCTGTGACTAAGTCTGATAGGTCTTGTTTGTTATTATTGGCAATAAAATGATTGCTTTGCACTTACAGTTTTGTCCTAGCCTTCAGCTGTAATAAAGTCATGTCTGTGGAGCAAATAACTTACACACATTTTCCTTTTACTTTAACAATAATTAATTTGTCAAAGCAAGTATTGTGTTTAAAAAAAGTTCACTCAGCTAACAAACACAGCAGTATACGATTTGGCTAATTTCATTTTTGGGAGAGAGGGTTTATGGATATAAAGCTGTACGTATATTGATGGGTTGCAAGCATTCCCAAGAGAGTTAAAAGACAAAAACATGGCGGCCATTGTGGTACCGTTAACAATGGATGCTAATGAGAAATCTTTTGTTAAATGGTCCCAACATGGCCGCGATGACATAACATGGAAACGAAGAATACGGTACAGCTGTATGTTAAACGTATGGGGCCCAGTTATATGTCTTTGACAAAGGACGATAATATATTTGTTACAGATAACCAAGATTCAAGCTCAAACTCTAATAGAGGAGGATATCGAGGCAGAAGTCAAGGAAGAGGTCAAAAGAGAGGTCGTGGTAGAGGAAACTACTGGAGGCCTAGGGGKAGAGGTGGTAGAGGAAGAGCCAATCCACAGAATCCCACACCAAGGTCATACCTGATTGATGAAGAAGATGATGAAAGCATGGGCGATGAAGAAGACAATGCCACATCTTTTTCAAGATAGTACGTTGTTTTTAAGAACCTTTGGATTTTTCTACATAAAATGTATCTAGACATAATATTATACATGTATGATCATGGATATTTGTTATGCAGAGAAATCTTGTTTTGTTGCTTATGTTATACAGCTGTATTCTCTATAAAAAATATCATTCTTGCTCTGCAATTGTTTTTTTTGATATCAAGACAGAAACAAAAAGTGCCCCCTAAATCCCCACTTTTATTTATATAATATTAATTATATAAGATATTTGAAATCAAATGCTTGCACTGATTGGCTGGCTACCATGTTTATATCATGTCCTAGACATGTTCGTGCAAAAATATTTTATAAAAACAATATAAAAAGTCTCTAGATTGGTACTGTAATATAAACACTCTGGAAGCTRGTAGCGTACAGAAACACACAGCTACAACTCTTTGTATTCCTAAGCTTGTTTCTCTCATGCTCTGCAGCTCCTAGCATGTTTACATCACAGTAGAGAGACATGTGCACATGTTTTATATTTCTTAAATATCAATATTTACTGTCTTAATACAGTACGCCATATGGAACAAGACCACCTTCAAGGCGTGGTTTTCAAAATGACAGAGGGAACAACAGGGGAACTGGTGGTATTAAACGATGGCTTGGAAATCAACCCCAAGGAAAATCAGACTGGTACAAAGTTGCTGTAAGTTCAATTAGTTTATCATTTCTATATCAATATCTTTTAAATAACATTTTACACAACAATTACTAAATCTAAATGTAAATGTTCATAGCCAACTGACATTTGATACACAACATTTGATCAGCCATAAGTCTTCTAGTTGTCAGCTGATGGCTTATAAATACCAAACAATGCAGCCTGTGAACGAGGCTCTCCAGGGATTTGGCAAAGGAGTTAGAAATGAGGAATGATTGTAGTTTTTTCATTTAGATTGTAAAAGGGAAGCAGCACGACAAAGATTGGTTACTCAGAAAACTACAAAATGCTTCAGAAGAAGCCTTTCAACCAGTTGAGGTAACACAACTAGCAAACATGTAGATCTTGGTTAAACTCACCATTAGTAGATGAGCTTGGTGTTAGGTGCTTGTTCGGTGGGATGAGAGGAGCCTGGCACATAAAATTGTGGTAACCATGGCAACCCTGTCACAACTCACCGTGCACCTGTCACACTGACRGTCTGGTCAGTGGAATACTTACCCATATATACCTACCATAGGGAGGGAGGGAGGGAAAGAACCAGATATAGCATTTAGAGTGTGGTTGCCAGAGGCTAGTGATAGCTAATATCGTAATGCAAACGATTGTTGGCCGAATTTAAGGTCAAGCTAGCGTGATCACATGGATAGCGTGCAATCGAGTTGACTCATTAGCAATAAATAGCGCTGATCAATATTGCGGTAATTACCAATCAAATAGCTCAGCCCTGCTAATGATCAAAAATAATGCTAGCATAGTGTTTAACGTATATAGGTGGCCATAGCAGGCAGGCAACAAATGGAAACAGCGGCTATCRTAGACCATTCGCTGCAACACAAATGGAGTCTAACTTTGCATAAATTTCATTTAACCACATTTATAAGCTCAACTTAGTTATAACCCCCACTGGTTATACATATAAGCCCTCTAGTCTGCTAGCCCCCCCTGTTATACAATACAATACAATACAATAGACTTTATTAGGTTCCCCTAGGGGATCTAATTTAGGGATACCTAATTTACCATTGAACACATTAAAAAAAGTTAATCAAAAATTACAATTAAAATTTAATTGAGACTAAGAATGAACTAACACTATTGCTATATAATAGAAAATATAATGCCTGATAATAAGGATGAACTATTATAAAATACTATAAATTATATAAAAATAAATAAATGAATAAATCTGCAAGGTATTAAACTAACTACTAAGACAGTTGCGCAACAACACTGATAGAAGATTATGCTTAAATCAGTGTAAGTTCCATTTTAGGTTGACTTTAAAGCTAAAATAAATTACTTACTTGGAATTAAAAGAGAGGAGATGATAGCCCTTTGCAAGCAGTAAACTTACTGGCTACAAGCTTTACTTTTCAATGTAGAGAATGCATTAAGCTTTTGAGATTTACTACGTACATGTAATAGTCTTGTTACATCTATTGTTAAAAGTACATCTAGTATTATTTTAAAAGATTTTTTTGCTTTTCATATTGAATAGTTCCTCCATTACAAAGGAGAAACCTGTATTTATACCTGTATTCTTAACACGAGTAATACGTGTATTTAGATTTTTTTGCTTTTTCTTATTGAATAGTTCCATTACAAGGGAGACACTGCTATGTTTTTTGTAGAGGGTAGTAGTGCTGCAGATGCATTAAAAAAAGTCAGTCATCAAATAACTGTCAAAGATGGTTCCAAGGTATGTGAGAGAACAATGACTTCATCAGCTTGAGACTCTCTGCATCCATTACAGACCCCATATCATTCTCTCAAGAATAAGATGCTTTATTTGAGTTGTATCCATATTCATGTGTCTTCTCATGGGCAACCATTAATTAAATAAATGATACTCTTGGGAAGGACACATGGTTTGTAATAGGGAAAATGTACCAAATGATTAAGGTCTACAGCCAATAGGTCTATAAGCCTTTTTCACAATAACTTACAAATTTCTCGCACGTTGATTGGTTATTTTTTATCACCAATGAAAGGACAGACAGATAAAGCTGACATCAACAAGCGCACACTCTTTCCGTTGGTTGTTTTGATCAGTGAAAATGAGAAGTTTTTATCGTTTTTGTTATTGTAAAAAACAAATAGACACCAGTTTTTTATGTGTCTGTCCTCTTATTGACGATAAATTTCTCCAACACATCAAAGTAGTTTGTAGATCCACTCGGCTATGCCTTGTGGATCCACACTACTTTGTCAATGTTATGACACAATTTATTGTCAATAAGAGGACAGACACATAAAAAACTTATGTATATTTGTTAAATAGCCCTCAGAAAAAGATATTTTGGTGGGATGGGCAGGGTGGCATCTTACATCAATATTGGTTATGTAATTCATATTTTTTCAATGTCTATTTTAGTTGACCCTCACTGTTAGACAAAGTGAACGGCCATTTATGACAAATCATAGTGGTAAAGAAGGCAGTGCTTTTAGTGGAACTGATAGCTCACAATGGAATGCAGAAACAGAGCAAGCATTAAAGGTAAATATTTGATTGACAAATTTTTCTCATTGACTTGTAAGTAAATATCTTTCTCTTGTGACCAGGAATGTTTGAGCAATCGCTACAATATGGAAACAAAGACTATGGATTTATCTGATCTTTTTCATGATGAAGGTATGTATTTTGCATGAAATAGTGTCTTTTTTGTGATATTTTTTTACATTAATGTTTTATAATTTGTATCTCTGTCTTTTCTCTTACACAGTTTTAAAGGCTAATAATGTTCAAGGAAGTTTATATAGAGCTCCTGTGGCAAATGCAATCTTGAAACTTATTGGTGAAAATTGTCCTGATGTAAGTTAACTTGCTTGCAAATGTCCTTACATTACAACTACTATAACCGGAGTCAATTAGACAGCAAGAACCAATCAAATTGTAGAGTAAAAAGAATACATTCCAACTTTGGGTAGCGATCAGAAAGCAGCAGAAACAATTGCCTTTCAATGCATCTTTTTATTCCCACAAGCAAATGACAATGACTATCTAGTTGTTTACACTTAAGGTATTAGGATACGAAAAATGACGAATTGCTCGAAAAATTTTAAACTTTTATCTTTCATATGTTTGTGAAACTTCTTGCAATTTTTGATTGGAAAAGCCAAAATTTTAAGAAAAATCAAAATCGTGACTTTATCAAGACCGGAAATGTACCGTCACTTAATATATGCACATCTGTCATGCTCCTTTGTCATTGTAAAAAGATCCTGCATTGCGATCGTCCAGAACACCAGATAATTTGACAAGTGATGACAAAATGGAAGGCTCAAGGTGTTTTGGCCAACACCATCGTGGCTCCCTGCAGCTTCCAGCTCCAAACAAAGAAATGTGTTTTTCTCGAATCTTTTTTGCCGCCAAAACCTCAACTTCAAAAAGCTAAAAGTCCCTTGGATTTCATTCAATTTTWWAAAAAATTTGGAGAGTTTATAAAGTAACTCATGATCCAAAAAAGTGTGTCTCCGAATTTTGAAATTTAATTTCTTTCCAAAGTTATGACGCTTTTTACTCTAAACAACACTCCAAAAGCAATCGCTGAGCTTTGATCAAAAATAGCGAGAGATAGAAAACAGATATCAAAAATCTTGGACACCCTTTTTGAGCTTATTATCTCCTGAGTATGTTAAGCCATTTTTCGCAAACRTAGCTTAAAATGTACGAGTCCATTAATGTTTTCAYTGAGGCATGGTCAAATTTCGCTTTGAGGGCAATAATGTGAACAACAATAAAAAAAAYGTATTTTGAAAATTTCTTCATAAACTATATTTACTCAGCTTTCAGAAAATGTATACTTTGTTTGTGTTATACTATAAAGCCAGCGCCTTATTTAAGTTTGTGCACATAGTGCTTGTAAACGTATAATACCTTAATCAGGGTCAAATTACAATATTATTCTTGGCAATCTTTGTTTCTGATTGGCTTCACTACCCAAAATTGGAATGCATCATTTTCATTTTGCACTGCAAGTAAGTGGGCTGCAATCTGTAATCATTCTTAATGAGATTTAATTCTTGTATTCTTCCAGATGCAAGGTTTGGATATGAGTGATAATCGCCTGTACAATCTTGAAGCAATGAAAGACTTGCCTACTTATGCACCCAGTATACAACATCTGAAGCTGTCCAACAACCAGGTAAGGAGTTGTTTAATTCTAATTGAAAAATAAAACATCTGTGTTTAATAAAACTAGTCTGTTCTCTGAGCTAGGGCTGCAGCATAGTATTGAACCAATCAGAACCAACATTAGCTATTCTGAGGTTGAGGAAAAACTGGGTTGAGTCTGCATTGCCATGCATACTTCCAAGAAAACATCTATTTTGCCCCTAAACAGTCCCACAATGCACTGCAAAGCCAACTTTACCCAGTTTTTCCCTCGACACTGGAATGGGATAACCTGTGCTAATGACTGCTTTCATGTAAAATGCTGCTGTAAGGGAAGATTGGCGGAATTGTGACAGGAATGGCTACTAATAACCTATGGTACCTTATAAAATGTGGGAATTACTAGCATTATACAAACATTATTAACCAGCCAGTAGGTCAGGAAAGAGAAAAAACTGTGCACCTGAGGTCTTGAATACATGTGTATATGTCAAGGTTCATTTTTAAGACTGAGCGAGCATAGGTTTTCCCTATCTCTGAGCTGATCAAGAGGAATGTGGGCTCTGGGTACGAGATTCCATARTGCAATGCTTCACCTCCATTGATTTTATTTGTAGATGAGGAATATTGAAGAACTGGATAAACTCAAAGGACTTACTGGAGTAGTTACCCTTTTTCTGAATGGGAATCCATTCTGTGATAAATTTGAAGGCAAAGAATCAAGCTATATAAGGTTAGTTGAGTGAAATTATTATTCCCTAACAAAATAGATGTTATGATGTCACTTTGAAAACCTAGCATGTAGGTATGATGCTAGATTATATTCTCAGCAGCTTCTTCTAACCAGTAACTACAGTTAGAGAAAAGATAGTAGAATCTAATAAAATAAATGCTTTTACTTTTCAGTGCGGTTAGAAGCAGGTTTCCAAAAGTCTTAAATCTGGTATGCTAGACTTCAATTTTCTTAATCGACACACTTAAAATCCATTAAAATATAAAGCTTGTATTGCTGAAAAAGTATTGTTTTGTTTTGACAGGATGGTGTAGAGCATGCTCCTCCCATTGGGTTTGATTTGGCTACCACCACTGCTTTACCAAAAGTCCAGGTAAAGTTTGAAATCATGCTCTTTAGTTATTGATGTTTAGTGTTGAGTGTATGACGTCACATACTCCTATAAAAATTCGCAAAAATATGATACTTGTCATCCGAATATCAGGGAAAAACTTAACCAGTGATTATTAGACCTTCAAGGGTTATAATTCCAGTAAAGTTTCAGCAGAATTGAAATTTGGACGATTTATGTGCTAGTTCCCCTTTAAAAATGTGTTCCAGCTAGAACATGATTATGGTAAACACACCAAGTTTAGATTAGAGCATATTCATGCCACTGAAAGATGTTCTAATGACTGATTCTGATTATGAAAATTAAAATGGTCAACAATTTATTTGTATTTAGAGATTATGCAACACTTTTTCACTATACTGAAAACCTGTCATTTTGTCCAGCAACAACATATCAAAATTCTAACAACCTAATACTCTACTAACACCCTATCAACCTTCTACCAATGACCATGCAAAAAACTACAAGCATCCTTCCACCAACCTTCCAACACCCTTCCAATGCCTTTCTAACATAAATGTCTACCAAAAACCCTATAGCGTTGATTCTTTCCTAGCATCTACCTATGGATGCCTTACCAACACCATACCAATAGCCAAATGAAATCCAACCAATACCTTACCAATTTCTTACCTACGCCTTACCAACTCTCTCCCAACACCCCACTTATCAAAAATTGAGACCCCCCAATTACCAACACCATACCCACTCACCAATACCCCATCCACTAACCAACAACCTACCCACTCACCAACACCATACCCACTCACCAATACCCCACCCACTCACCAATACCCCACCCACTCACCAACACCCCACCCACTTACCAACGCCCAACCCACTTACCAACACCCCACTCACCAACACCCCACCCACTCACCAACATGTGACCAACCGACTTACCAACACCCCACCCACTTACCAACATCTCACCCAATTACCAACACTCCACCCAACTCACCAACACCCCACCTACTCACCAAAAATTACCCTACTCACCAATACCCCACCCACTCACCAACAATTATTACCCAACTCACGAACACCTCACCCACTCACCAACAATTACCCAACTCACCAACACCCCACCCACTCACCAATAATTACCCAACTCACCAACACCCTACCCAACTCACCAGCACCCCACCCACTCACCAACAGGTGCTCAACTCTCTTACCAACACCCCACCCACTTACCAACAACCTTCCCCCCTAAAAACATCCTGATTTTAAGAAAGTTTTTCTTGGATGTTTAAACAGGGGAGTTACCTGGTTGATCCAGAGATCAAGAAACTTCTTCTCAGTTTTCTAGAGCAGTACGTATTACAAGTGCATCCAATGCAAGTGCTACAAGTGAAGTGTGAAGCTTGTGACTAACTCATAAGTTAACAAGAGTAAATCAAAGCTGACTTGCTTTGATGCCAGCTCTCAGTCTTGTCAATCTTGTGTCATGGTCGTAACGTATTCTTAATGTTAATCGATGCTGTTTATCTTGTTCTTGTGATGTGGTCATATATATTTGATCTTATTTGATAAGATCTTCTTGTTATGTGCCATCTGTTAGTGATGCTTAAGGTGTCATGTTTGCATATATTTAAGTTCTTTYCCCCCCGTCATTTTAGTACAGAAATGTACATTGTTGTGGTGCAATGGTATATTTCTTTTGCTTCAAAATGTTGTTGATACCACAGTTTATAAGCCCAAACGTTCAACAATCAATTCGTTGTAAAAATATTTGAGACTATAAACCCTATCCTGGCTTAAACTAATAATTGAATCCTGATAGATTTTTACACTTGGTTTTGGTTTTGAAAAGGCTTTAACAACTTCCACCTTGCACTGTCAACCTGTTAAAATGAACTGTAATTCTTGATTAAGAGGTCCTATGAGCATAGGATATACTAAGAAGTATCCCTTACAAGAGGAAAATGTGGGTTTTGTATTTTGTTTTCTGATCTCCACTTCACTGTCACATGACTATCTCATTCTTCCTTTTCATTTTGCTGCATCAGAATCATTATGAATCACATGTTAAAAGAAGATGGTGCTGACATAACTGAATATGAGCATGTGAATGAGCCAAGAGCCACACGTATTTTGAGACAAAGCAATCAAAGAGCAGTGATAGCATGCAAACTTGCAAATGTACACTGTTGTTTTGGTGGGTCAGTCATGACAAAATAAGGGGTAGCACCCTAATGTGTGCCGAACCCCAGTCTGACTGTTTAAACCCTGTGACAGAGACATGTGGTATATTACTCTAGTCAAATAACCACACACTGCCCTGTCACTCAAAATTTATTTGCAAAACATTGCACTGAAAATGAATGAAAGCAACTGGGCTATTTTGTTGCTTGCTTCCCTGACTATCAAGACTAGAATGTTGCTATATTTTTCTTCGATTCATTTTGTCACATCGTCCATGTCAGCAACCCACATTTTCTTGTTTGTTATTTAGACATTTAATTGAACTTATCTTACTGTTAATTAGGATTTAAAAGGTTACATGCAGCTGGAAGTTGTCCTTGAATCATTCGCCTCAAAAAGCCTAAAACCATACGATATTCCTTTACCTTTTTGATAATTTTTTCTAAAATATAAATTTAAATGAGATGTTCTGATTGCAACCTTTGGGCTTTAATCACGTTGTCTCACAAGCACATTATTAATAATGTCATTTTACAGTAATAATGGTATCTTTGTAACTTATGAGCAGTCTACATGTATTGGCAGGTTGACTGTTGGCCAGTAACCAGTTTATTCATTAACTCATCCAGCAGTTGGCCGAGTGTTGATTGACATGTGCCTGCTGATCATTAAGTAAACAGTTTCTGTTTTAATATATTGTCAGTGGTAGTGCATGATATTATTCTTGTTATCAGTCGTACTTCCTCGCTGTGTTGTGTTTCAGATATTTCAGGATCTATGATTCAAATGACAGACAGCCCCTTCTAGAGGCATATCATGATCAGGTGCGTCAAATCTTATACAAGTCAGTAAATCATGTTTGGGTAGTAAACTTATCACCATGCCTCACGCACAAAATTGTGCAACTTAGACCTGTACAGTGAGTCAAAATATCAGTTGGAACAAGTGCATGGTGAGGTGGGCAAACTTAGCTGATCAAAATGAATTAAAACATGCACCATGTCATGACAATAGAACATCAGCAATAAGTTTTCAACTGTTACAAAATCATTTCAATTGGAAGAAGACAATCAAAGTGCTGGCTCGGCAAATATTGTGTGACTGAGAAAATCTAATGGCATAGTTTGTTGTGATTTAACTATGACAATGTTATGTCCAATCACTATGATTGGATGAGCAATAGTCATGTAGAATAAACTCTACTACAAATTACAGATTAGTAGAGCATAGTATGGTATGGTGCTGTGCAGATTTGTGTGGTTAAACTATGCACTATGACCATTAAATGGTATTTGTGTTACAGGAAATAGAATAACCCATTAGTCTCTGATTCATTCTCATTCCCATCCATCCATTCATTTGTTTATTAATTTTTGCTTATTACCAGGCAATTTTTTCCATGAGTGTCAACCCAGGATCATTTAATAGAGAAAAAGGACCAAGGTTTGTATTGCATTTTTTTACTCTCACTCATCATACCCTTAACACTATAATAGACACACACACATGTTATTTACCAGCCAGGAGATCTGGATAGGGATAAACTTTGCTTGAGGTCTTGAATATACAGACCAATGCCTTAAGGCTGGGGTAGGTTTTCAAAACTGAGGGCACAGTTTTTTCCTAAGCCTTACGTCAGGATACTGGACTGCAGGCAGGGATAAAAAATACTGCCTGCTTGTGCCGCTACAGTCAACTCTCGTTACAGYGGACACCTTCGGGACCCTCACTTCATGCCCATAATAGCAAGCGTCCGTAATAACGAAAATTATTTACGGTCATTTCTTTGTCAGTAATTTTGTCGGGGATTTTTCTTCTGTCCGTAATAGCAAGGAGTCCGTAATATCGGGGTGTCTGCAAGGYGAGAGTTGACTGTACTCAAATGGCAGGATTTTTAGGATACTGGACTGGAAAAAAGAATGACTATACTTGCAATTGAAAAAACTCCCACCCCCCTTCCTCCTTACCCCCTCCCCAACCCATCTCATGATGAAGTCACATGCAATGTTAAGAGTGTAGACACACTTTTTGCAACCAACACACTTACAGCATTGAATCGAACTTTGCAACCACTTGTATGCAGTTGATATTTTTGTACTATGAATATTGCTGAAATCATATGTCAAAATCTTTAAGGGATGACAATGAAACAATAAGATTATTAATAATCAAATGAGTATAAATTGGTCAAATAAATTGGTCTTAAAGTTTATTTTTGTTTCCCTCTCGGCAGAGGACCTTCATTGGGGGAGTACATGAAAAGCAGCAGAAATATGATCAGAAGAAAGGAGCAAGGTATTGATTTCTCATATTGTTTCTCTTGCTACTTTTCAATAGGACCATTGCCTCATACAGTCTTATGATGATTACCACATCAATAGCGAATTATTTCAGTCCAAGGTCCCTTGGGAAGGCTCTCCTGGTTTGCATACAAGCATGAAAATTGCTTAATATCTTGAGATTCTTTTCACTAGGAAAAGTAGCATTTTGAAAATGTTTGAAAATGCATTTTGAAAATGTCATTACCTTAATTAAATCCAGCAAATATCAATAGAAACCCAATTTTTTTCAATCAGTAACAAAGGGCCTAGTATGTAATATATCAGTATAAGGAGTATATTGTATGTTTTGGCTATATTCTGTTTATAGGGAATCCTATTAAAATTGGTAGTAATGACGCAGGGGGACTCATTCTTGAGCTGAACCTCCTGAATCTGCCTGTTTTTTTTGTTAGAGGAAAACGAAGAGGAAGAATAGGAATTGAATGGGAATTTCAATTTCAATTATTCTGTTCTTATAAATGGATATAAAAGTAATTTTCACTAGTATATTTGTGGAAGGGAGATATGGAAAGTAGAAACCTTATGAATATATAGCATTTTTACAGCTGCCTGGAGAAATCACTTGGTAAAAGCATCAGACTTTCGTGTGGGAGGTCGTGGTTGGAGTCACGGCTAGACCAACACTCAGGGTCTTAAAATAATGGAGTTAAAGTTGCTTTCTTTGTAATTAAATCTTGTAATAGTTAGACTTTCAAGTGGCTAGGACGACCACTTTAAATGGCAGTCCCRTCTCTCCACACTTCCTCATTACTAACCAATATCGGAGGGACGTAAAAAAACCAGTGAGGACGTAAAGAAAACCTGGCAGTGACCACCCTCATTACCTAMACCTTATACTAATCTCTCATGATTGTAAGCGCCTTTGATTATATCAATATATAAAGGTCACTAAATAAATAATAAATTATCATCATTTGTTTTTATGTTTTGTTTTGTTTTCAGATGTTAGAGCATCTCTAATTAAACATAATCGTCTATCAGTTGTGGCCATGTTGAACGAACTACCACCAACTACCCATGAGCTTTCTTCTTTCGTTGTTGATGTCAGCTTGGCTATTGTAAGTTATGTATGCAATATGAGCAACTTATACAGATCATACATGAATATTGTATATTGCTCATCAAAAATAAAAGTGTGTAATTTAATGTTCTACTGTAATATTTGAAATGGACCAAATCCACTTGGGCGTAATGTTTTGCCCATTTCAGACCATGGGTCATTCTCTTGAGAATAAGATTCTTTGCTTGAGTTGTATCCATACTCTATATTCTTCGATTACACTTTACGTCATCGCGGCCATGTTGGTGCTATTTAACAAAAGATTTCTCATTAACATCCATTGTTAACAGCACCATAATGGCCACCATGCTTTTGTCTTTTAATTCTCTTGGGAATGCTAGCAAAGCATTAATTCATGAATGTGTTTTTCCATGAACAATCAATAAACAAAGAAATGATACTCTAGGGAATGAAATGGAAAACAGTGGATTAGGTTTATTGGAGTGAATTTGACTGAGAAAATTTATGTTAAAGTCAAATGCAAATGAGTATGATTCTGTATCCTAATTTCATTGCTATGTGCTGATCAAGGTAACAGTTGCAACAGGGAAATCCTGCAATAGATTGCCAACAATCAAACAAATCGTTCAGTACCTTTTCATACTCTGGTTCCCTGCAGTATATTGCCCAATTTCCCTGTCGTGATTACACAGTGGTTACAGGCTTTATAACTCCTATTATCTTATTTCAGCCAACTTGTCTTCATTTTTCCATTCGTGGATTTTTCATGGAAGGTTAGTATTCGTCATTCAAGTGAATGTTAGCAGTGATAGTTCATTCAATGACTCACTATTATGGTAAATCTCTTATTCCTTTAGGAAACAAGACAATGAGATCATTCACAAGAGTCTTCGTAGCACTTCCTGCAGCTGGTGGAAAGTCGTAAGTGTTAAATAGTTTTATGTTATTTCATATAGTGTTACGGTTTATGTTATATATATTTATCATTTGTTTTAGAAGCCTAGTGAAACACATTCTTATAGTAATCTAGGTATTCTCAGCAAGGATTATTAATGCTACAAACTTTGAAGACAATTCATGGATATCATAAAGGATGGAAGCAGCTGCAATTATAATTTTTAATGTCATGTTGATATTAATTAACTGTGCTCATTTCTTGAAAGGTTGAAAATAGTCAATGATGAATTACATGTAAGAGGCCCCGCGTTACCACAAATTCAGGTGAGAAGATCCAATGTTTCTACCTCTGCATTACTACTGCATGTGATAATCTACATCTCCTTAACATTCATTCAATCCCTGCTCATACAGCAGCCTTGTTGACTGGAACAATAGGTTTTTCCCATGCGTAGCCTCACATCCAAGTGCTTGGTAATGAATTTATGCAGTTTAAACAAAGGTTTTTATTCCCATGAGAATAAACACGGCTGCCGCTTTATTAAGGGCGCCCATGGCAGTGCTGCTTCCAAGATATTGAAAAGGAAAGGCAGTTTTATCCTCCTTGGATACAACTATGCAAATACTTAACAAATAACCAAACGAAATTCTAAGATTTAGGGTATCAATCAATTGGAGCTTAGTTTGATCTTAAATAATGTCCTTAGGTTCGGTTAACATGGTACCTGATAAATTTTTAACCATTCAAAAATTAGACTAGTGCATACCATTTATATGGAACTGTCCCTTTAATTGATTAAAACGTACATTCTATTTACACAAAGATAATGTTTTTAAAAGGGGAAAAATTTGTCAAAAACATAACCTTAGGTTCCTGAGGGGTGGGGCATGTCCCTCCCACACCCCTAGCTCATTACCACCATCGTGTATGAAAATCTTCTCCCATAAATTGTTATCTTATTCGATAACCATACCTGCAAATGCAACTTCATTTGTTTAATCTTTGAATTCTTTTAATCGAAGGCATTTAAGAAACAGCAAGAATCCATCACAGCAACTTCAACATTACAAGTTCCTGCTGCAGTACCAACTATACCAACAACTTTACCAACCATAGTAACTGTGCCAACCCTTACACCTTCCACGTCACTAACCACCTTACCTATCCCGTCTGGACTAACACCAGAGGTATGTCATACTTGGTAGTATACTATGCACCTTACCTATCCCATCTGGACTAACACCAGAGGTATACTGTGTAG